GCTCCCGATCGTGAGCCGCACCCGAGGGGAACCCCCGCGCCGCCCACGCCAGAGCGCCCCCTGACTGGTACTCCACTGACGGTAACAGTGGAGGCCAGGTCCACAAGAAACCTTTCCACAGGACGCCCAACCCTGAGACCCCAGGACGTCCATTCATTGTTGGTGTGAGAACGTCACGCTCTCCATAGCAAGACTGTCGAAGCCCAAGAAACACAGGACACCCTGGAGGCAAGCAGGGTGTGTCTTGGCATGCGCCCACCACTGCACTTTGACCAGCGAACCGGCGAATGCAAACTGTACCGATGCCGGCGATGTCGCAACGGCCGAAAAGGGGCCCTGAAGTGGCAACTTCAAGTGGGGTTCCCAAATATGCGCTGGTGACTCCTGAGGCACGCTCGTGTCGCGACGGCCTCGGCGCTGGCTTCCGACACCGCGCAGACCGTTCCGCCTTGAACGATCGGGGCTCTTCGAAAGTGCAGGTCTCTCAGTGCCGGGCGAACGACCGCCAGCGACGCTCGACTCTACTCCAGATTTCGTAATAAAAGGGAGGGGGTCTGGACCCTCCAAGACAAGCCATCTCAGACCTCCCCCGTGGGAGAACCCTCCAAAACATCGTCCCCAGACCCCCCAGGCCCTCCAAGATAGCCTGGAAGAGACCCCCCCCGAAATGAGCCCCCCCTCCCTTTATTACGAAATCTGGAGTACGTGCCCGCGTCGCGATCGTCGCCGACCCGGCACGGCACGATCCTCCCGCGCCCGTGGCGGCACCGCCGGCCGCAGGCCTCGTCCTCGGAGCCGGAGACGCAGATGATGTCCGCGGCCATGGCGCTCTGGCGCGGCGGCTTCCCCCCCGAAGCCCCCTCCGCACGGAGCCCCGGCGCCTGCGTCGGTGCCCGCCGTGCTCTCGCGAGAGGGTTCTGATTATTGGTCTAGAGCGGATATTGGGGTCTGGAAGAGGATGGGGGAGGAGGATCGGGGAGGAGGAGGAGGAGGAGGAGGAGGAGGAGGAGGAGGAGGAGGAGGAGGAGGAGGAGGAGGAGGAGGAGGAGGAGGAGGGCCCCCTCCCCGTCGCACCTGCCAGGGAGAAAGTCGCCCCTGCGTGGGAAGGGGAGGGGAGCGCGCGGGGCCCACAGAAGAGGGGGACGCAGGCGGCCAAAACCATGGACGAATGAGGACCCGCCCGGGGGCAAGACAAACCGATGCTCATCATGGAAGCGATCCATCAAGGCCAGCTGGGACAACGACACCGACGTGCAGATGAACCAGCCCTGAAGACCATGTTGAGTTATGGATGAAGGCGCACCGAACATGTCACGAATTTGGGCATTGCAAGCGCAAAGGGTCAGGAGTGGGATTCCAATTGTTCGGCTCCATGGGACTCAATACGCTTGCTCTTGATCATGGATCATAGCCGTAGGCAAATCTCTGGGCCTTCGGCACGCTTGCCTTTGGTACTGATCGTAGGATCATTCATGGACCTGAATCCCGGGGTATGTCTGAAGGACCGCGAACGGCTCATCCGGAAGAATGCAATCCGAGCGTCGCGCGCTAGGAGCCGCCCCGTCTTTGCCGCAAACAGGGGACGGAGTCATTAGGAGTCCCGGATGCAACGCCTGCCTCCTTAGAGATGGTCACGGAGCTCTGACAGGAGAAACGCCCGCCACGCCCAGGGCAGCTGCGCAAGCGCTTGTAAGCATAGGACGGCGAGCTGCCCAAACGCTGCTAGACGCGCAGAGAGGAACGGAAAGGAGGCGCGCCCAGGCCTACAGTTTCCTCGCCTGCCGTGGCAAGTGGCGGCGCGAGGCCCGAGCAGCAAACGTCGAAAGTGCGGAAATTGGCCCTCGACGTCCACGATGCCCCCCAAGGGCTCCACGAAAAGGCGGGCCGAGGACTTCCCGACAAGCATGCGGCATGGCGCTAGAGGTCCCAGGAGGGGCCCCCGACGTCCTCAAGCGACTCTGCACTGGATGATGTCTCAAGCGAGAGAGGCAGTCTGCAAACGAACAGACCTCAATCTCTGTAGCTACTGGGACGTTTTGCAAAACATGCGCGCAACGCTAAGGTAAGAGCCGCATTTGGAAAACCACTGGTCCTCAATTCATATACCTAGAGAGCGCTTTAAGATATGAGCGCGGCGTTGAAGCGAGAGCCGCAGCTTGAAAACGGGAGGCCTCAATTGCGAAAGCGACAGGCCTTTTGAAACGGATGTGCGCGGCGCTAATGCGAGGGGGCATTTGGAAAACCACTGGCCCGCAATCCTCGGAACTGATTCAAGCTTTCCAAACGATCGCGCGAGCTCGATAGAGCGAGAGTCGCATTTTGAAAACCGCCAGACCTCCATCCCTGCAACTACTTGACCTTCTGCTGTCCAATCCCACAGCCCCTTTAGGGCGTGAGTGGTTTAGGGCGTTTTCTCTTCCATCTTCCCTCTTCCCCTTCTGGGGGGGGTACTCCTCCTCCTATCACTGGGTCTGGACGAGGCGCCCTGCGACCGATTAGAACGTCCAAGATAGCGCAATATTGATTCAAGAGGGCCTCAGGGAGCACAAGGTGACCTCCAACATGGACATAGATAGCGCAAGATAGCTCAAAATGGCTTCCGACATTCTCCAAGAGGCCCTAAGACCACCCCAAAACGGCTCCAAGTGAGCTCGGAACACCCCCATGAAGAGAGCCACCAAGAGGCCAACATCCTCCCAAAACCTTAGGAACATCAGCGATTTGTGCTCGTTTCGCTTCCGATGGCCCTCTGAGGCATCAAGATGGCTCCAAGAACACCCAAAAGAGCCCCAAGAGGAGCCCAATGGGCAACCAAGATGGCATCCAGAGCGCCCAAGACCGCTCCAAAAGCGTTCCAATAGAGGTCGAAGAGGCGATCTTAGGAGCTGCAGAAGGGGGGTGCTGATTACCCCCTGTGGTTCATCGAACTCCTCCAATATGGCCCCAAAGAGGGCCCCCGAGGCTCCCAAGAGGGCCCCACAACGTCCCAAAAAGGCGCCAAGGCGGCCCCGAGAGCTTCAGAGAGGTCCCCCAAGAGGCTCCCGAGAGATCCCCAAGAGGCCCCAAGAGGCTCTCCCGAGGCAGCCAAGACGCTCCAAGAGGCCCCCGGAACCGCCAAGAGGACCCCAAGACGCCCTGAGAGAATTCAAATTAGCTATCAATATGAACCCGAAGAGGCTTCGAGATGCATCCAAGAGGCTTCTTGCCTTTCTGCTCGCCGTCCTCCTCATCCTCCTCTTCCTCGCCCTCCTCCTCCGACTATTCCTCCCCCTTCCTCCTCCATCCCCGCGGCGGGGGGGCAATTACTGTTCTGCTGGGTACGTTATCCTGATGCTCGGCACTACGCCGCAAGGACATTGACAATGGCACATGCGCTTCACGGCTTGGTGTTCGCACGACCGTAACGCTGGAGGCACTTTGAGCTTCCGGGCGCGGGGATCGTGCATTTGCCCCACTCCTCATCCTCCGATTCTTTCTCAATCCTCCCGCTCTCAGGGTATGACGGATGGCTCAGCCGTTTAATTCACTGCATGCCCGTCCACATCCCTGATCAGGGCAACCCGCTGGGGTATCGGTTCTGGATGAGCTGGTGGGGTTTCGCGGAGCGTCTAGGATATGGTCAATGGAAAGGAAGCCGAAACAGAACGTCTGGCACGGTCTACAGACATGTCTGATGGTGCGCTAGGGGGGAGCAATAAGGAAGATGGATTGAGGAGGACAGCGACGATGATTAAAGGGAGGGTGGGCCAGAGGCGCGATAAGGGGATGGAGGAAGGAGCCAGCACGGAGGAGTGAACAGGCAGGACAAATGAGGAAGGATCGAAGAGGAAGGAGCGCGGAGGCAGAAGGCGCCGGAGGGATGCAGGGATGGAAGGGCCGAGGGGGGGAGGACGGAGCAGGACAGAGGAGGGAGCAGTGAGGAGACAGGGGTGCAGACGAAGAATGCGCACGAGGAAGGGGAGGGAAGGCGGGAAGGAGACGTGGAGGGGGGAGAGTGGAGGCGAGAGAGAAATCGAGAGACGCTGCACGCCCGAGGGGACTGGTGGTGGAGAGGGGGGCGCAGCGGGGCAGGACTGGGGAGCAGACAGATGCTCGAAAGGGATACAGGCAGCAGAGAGGGATGCGCAGTGGAACAAAGCGTGAAGCGCGGCGTGAAGCCCTAGCTCATAGGCCAACGGGGGACAGGACGGCGTATAGTACAACGGCAATGAAAAACAGCCCTCAATACGAGGCGTCCGTCGTGGTCGCCCACACAATGAATTCAGACGGCAATCCTTTCCCAGCCTCACGATATTGTGCCTCCTGCCTCCACTGCCTGTGCCCTGCTTGCGCAGTGGAACAATGAGAGGCTCGATGCGAGTAAGCACTGAACGCAACACATTTTGCAAACAGCTACCACTGAAAACCTCTGCTTCCAGCAAAGAACCTTTGCTGGAAGCAGAGGCTTTCACCGACAGCATCTTCTCACCGAGCGCAGAGCTGATTGTGTTTAATAGGAATGTTGGCTCGCAGTGAAATGTCTGCTTTCGGTGTAAACGCTTGCTTTCTGCAAAGAAAAGTCAAGTCTGGCTAGGTCCGGACGGGGGAGCGGGGCGCGCTCGGTCCGCGCATCGGAGGTCCGCGCATCGGGGGCAACGGCCATTCGCATGCACTGCCGCATCACCCATTGGTGCAGAAAGACAACAAAAAGAGCACGCGATTCCGGGCTGCGTGTTCGTGTGGGGTGTAGCGCAGCTCCTTTTGAGCCGCGCGGAGAGGCGTTCATTCCGGAAGCATGGTCTCCGCAACGGGGCCCCAGCGACAGCCAGAGGGGGGAGACAATGAGGCAGAGGGGAGTGTCGTTCACGATGGCAGCCAGGGCAGGGCAGAGAGGCGAAAGCATACAAGGAGGGAGGGGAGACGCAGGGAGGGAGGGAGAAGAAAGTGAGGAGGAACAGCAGGAGGAGGAGGGGAGGCCGTGAGCGCGAGGAGGAGGAGGAGGAGGAGGAGGAAGAGGAGGA